CACCCAAAGTGAAAAGGAGGAAGGGTTATTTAGCTCACAGCTTGTAGAGGTTTTAGTTCATAGTTGGCTGGCTCCAAAGCAGGGCGGCATGGCAGATGGACATCCAGAGGAGAAGCAGTTCATGATGGGCAAAAGGTAACAAAGCAAGCAAAGGGCTCTAGTGGCTTCTTTCTTCCCCGTTTATATTCTGTCTGGGATAGTGGGATTAGGGTGGTACTAAACTAGTCAGGGAATTGCTGTAACCACATACCCTTAATCTCAGCATCACATACTCTAGATCCAGCCCCATCTATGATTGCATGAGGCTTTAGGCGCCATCTAGACACAGCCCTAACAGTAAATAAAGGAGTTGCCCAAACTTTTCTGTATTGTCTGTTCAGGATTTATAGGTTTTGTTTAATTTTTACTGCATTGGAGTAAAAATGGGATAATGGTGAAAACCATCATGGTCCAAAAACACTTTCAGGGAAAGTAATCAAGTCTCCAAGAAATGCGTATGAAATCATGGTGCTCCAGACTCACGCTCCAGCAGAAACAAGGCCTTGTTTGGTGCCTTAGTTGTTAGTGGAGCTCTCAAATAGTCTTAAAAGGCAGCCTATCCCAAGTTTTTTTCTAACCTATCAATGTGTGTTGGTTGAATGAAGTTCTTCTAATGCTAAGCATTTATAAAAGGGAGGTTGGTTTACTGGGGAAGTCGGACATTATAGTGTAACTGACCACTTTGATCCTTTTTCTCCCACTATAGGATCCAAGGAGATTAAATCCTGGCCTGGGGAATTTTCTTCCCTGAGTTTAAGGACCGATGCCAACAAAATATGGCATCTCCTCAGCCCCGGTAGGAGAGCTAAGGACAAGAATTGGGTCATCCACAGGACAGTCCCTCCTCTTAGAGAATCCCTTCTGCCGTCCATGTCCATCTTCCTGTTGGTGTGTCTCCTTCAAGGGTGTTGTATCATAAGTTGGCCTTTCCCTCTCCTGGGTGTATTTCATTCTAACTTAGAAAAGCTGTAGCTTCATTGGAATTGGACCAATCTCTTTAGTTTTATAAAAGGGATTGCCCAGTCCCAGTGATTCGGTTATGGTGGGGTGGATCTAAAATCTACTGAGCAGCAGGAATTTATACCTAGTTTATGTACTCAAAAACATAGCTCCTAAATCAAAGCACAGTCAAGATAATTTTAAATAATTATTTTCCTATGACAGAATTTTTACAGTAAATTTCTGTAGAGATTTTTCTTATATTCATAATGAAGTAGTCCTTAATAGAAATCTAAGAAAACTTATTTAGAATACCTCATACTGTCAAAAGGAAAATGAAATGTTTGTGAAGTTCAACACACATGTCTTTAAGCAGCATTATGTTAATATAAGAAAGAATGGTTCAGTTGTATCAAAGGTTAATTATCCATTGGAAGAAAACCAGAGGCTTTGCTGGCATTTCCAGCAAAAGATTCAAGTACAAACATGAAGAGGAAATATTCGTAAATTGAGAATGGATAATGAGGCTTTTAGCCTGTCTAGAGTACAGGATGATGTGAAGGAGTTTGGAATATGACTAAAGAGTGAGATCAGAACCAAATTTTTGAGGGCCTTGAAATTCTTCCAAAAAAATATGTCCAATATTAGAAGTCACAATTTAAAATGTGGTGTTAATAGCTATGTGAAAAATCCAGCGGGGATGGAAGACCTAGAATCCAATTGTCAAGCTAGGCAGGAATTGTCCAAGTATGGGGAGATGGTAGTGAGAACTGAGTGGAAGATAAAGAAGAATGGGTGAGATTCATTAATCCAGGAGCAGGAGCAAAGACAATCCTGGGCCTTCGGCTTAGACGATTGGTAGATTGGGAAAGATGTCTCAGACAGTAAAGGACCTGTTGAAAGGGAAGGAAAGAAAGAGGGAAAAGAAAAGAGGGAAGAGGAGAGTTGGAAACTAGATGGATTGGAGTAAAAGAAGATGTGCTCAGTAGGAAATACAGTCTATGTGAGGTTGGACATTGCAAGAGAATTTTTAAACTTAAAATATTAAAATGTATAGGAAATGTGTCTCTTAAAGAGATGGATAACCCACCCCCTTGGTTTATGCATTGGTGAGTAAATATGACTTCTTGTAAGAATGCAGTGTGATTCATTGAAAATTCTATTACTAGTTTTCAGTTTTCACAGATGCAGTGGTTGAGTAAGTTTGTTCACATAAATACCCAGACAAGAACAAAAGAGGCTTTGTTATAATGAGGTTACTCAAGTCTTTGAGTCAAATTTGTGCTCTGTGCCAAAAATCAGTCGTCTGTCATCCAAAATTATTTTTAATGATCTATCAGACAGTGACGTGATTAGATCTCTCTTCTGCTTTGCTGGAAACCAAAAATTAGAAGCAAAATCAGAAAAGGATTTATTGCCCAGTCATCTGGGGCAAAATTTGCCTTCTAACGTTGACATTAATATTTTGAGTTATTTTGTTTGGTGACCAGTTTCGCATGCAGGGGCAGAGCACTGAGATGGGGTTCAGGATGTGGGAGGGTTTCAGCGTTCTGTGTAATGAGGGACAGGAATCTATGTGGAGGGAAGGACCAGGGAAAGGGCCACAGCTAGGGTCTGAGGCAGGTGAGCATGTCTCTCAACTATGGTGCTATGGTACCTCTTTAGATAGATCCAGCTTAAGAAAGAACAAGGAAAATGCCCACTAAAGTTCTGGAAATTGATTCCTTTAAAATTATCTGTGCCTGGTTGCCTTCTAGCCATGTATTTGCACTGTGAAGAGTACTTCTCTGGGGAAAAGCACCGAGCAGTGAAGGGTCACTAAGGCCTTTTCAGACTCACAGAGATTTAGACAGTCAGTGGCCTGAAAGGACAGTAGATATGTAGACAGAAGGAGGGCCCTGACCAGCTGTCATCCTAAGTACAATGGCTGTAGTCCTGCAGTTGGTGGCAAAAAGTGAATTCTGTCAGTCATTAGGGATGGACTTCTACAGCAAAGTCAAGCCTATTTTAGAGCAAAAGAGTTCCTAGAGAACGGTGGATAAACCAGACAAGCCAAGACGTAGCCCTTGGGAGAGAAACTGACTTGAGAAACAACAGAACCCATTTTCCCAGCAAGTGGATTTTCATTTGGCTTTGAGTGAATCTTACTTTTAAATTATCACTGAAACTAGAGCTTAATACAGCCCCATCCTGGAGCAGCCCTTTCATTCCTTTTTGGTTTTCTGTCCCCTCGCTCTGAGCAGTCCTGTGTACTCTGAGCTTTCCCAGTGCTGCTCCATAATTTCATACATCCACTGTTTCACTCAGACACACTTGGATCTGATTCTGGCTGTCCTGTGCCTGTTTTTCCTATCAGACTTGGAGGTTTAGTGAGGTTGGGATTTGCCTTAAGTCACTTGATGTTATGGCTTGTATTTAGATGTCCCCCGAAAGCCTTGTACAGCCATAGGTGGGGCTTTTTTCAGAGATGGCTGGATCTAGAGTGTGTGACACTGGGATTGATCCTGGTACAAAACTAGGCTCAAGGGCACCAAGATGAAGGGTGTGAGCACTATCTGCCCTAAGTACCCTGGATAAGACATGAGAGTTAGAAAGAGCAGTGGTTATTCCCTATTTGCTTGCATTTTTGCTGTCTTCCGCCCACCATGAACTGTTTCTCCTCTGTGATGCCTGTCTATCATGCCACCCTGCCTTGGAGTTAACTGAAACCTCTACCAACTATGAGCCTTTCCCCATTTAACTTTGGGTTTGTTGGGTATTTTGCCTCAGGAACAAGAAAAGTAACCAAGACACTTGACTAATAAAGTGCCTCCTTGTACTTTAAAATAAAGACAAAAATTGGATTTAACTGAATCATGAAAGGCCACATCCAAGGCTTTATTTGTCCCAAGTCACATGTCCAATATCAGAAAGCCTGAGTATTCTATTTTCTCTCTAAAACCTAAATGAGATTCATGCCCATTCTAACCTGTCAGCAAATAAATAGCAGGTTGTTATGTATTTTACGTGTATTAACTACAATCAGGCAGACATGAGCTAATCAAATTCTTCCTCCTCTTTCACTTGAGCTCATTCCTAAATATCTACACTGGCTACAGATGTGTGATTGGCTGTGTAAGTTATCTGTTGCTATGTACAAACTATCCTATACCTTTATAGTTTAAACACAACATGCATTTACCTTTCAGTGTTTATGATTCAGAAATCAGTGTGATTTAGCTATGATCTCTTGTTCGAGGTCTCCTAACAGGCTGCTGCAAGGCCAGAGACCAAGGAATGATTCACTTCCTTGCTCATCCACATGGTTGTTTGCGTCATTTAGGTTCTTGAAGGACGTTGGCTGGAGTCCACTCTTGGATCCTTGATACCTGAGGCTTTCTGTATGGTTGCTCTCATGGCCACTGGCTTCATCAGAGTTAGCAAATAGGAAAAGCCAGAGAGCCTGAGCAAGATGAAAGAGAGCTTGAGCAAGACGAAGTCACAGACTTTTATTTTAGACTCACCCACTGCTTTTACCACATTCTGTTCCTAAGAAATAAGCCTCTAGGTCAGCCTTTAAGGGAGCAGGACCTTGGTTGTGGCAAGGCTGCAAACACCAGGAGATGGGGTCATCCCAGAAGCTGCCTGTCACAGTAATTAAAGAAAACTCATAGGGTTGCCTGACTAAATTCACAAGCAAAAAACTTCTGATACAGGTAAAGACTCTTCAGACTCTTAGCTCTTTAACAAGAATGACACATAGGCACAAAGGCTTTGCATAGTCAGTGCTAGATAATTACAATTTTTCTGTCTTTTAACTTTTTATTTGAAAATAATTTTAAAGTTAAAACTGAAAGAAGAGTAAAAATAAACTCATATCATTATTTGTCAATAATGAGATTTTGAAATTTGTCACACAGGAGGGCAGCATTGGTGTTCATAAAAGCTAGCACCCCGATGAGATGAGGACAGGTGTCCTTCCTATTTGGTCTGCATGTGAAGTTGTCATCTCTCAAATGACTTGTTTCATTCTCTTCCTCCAGAAAACCCTGAGCGAGCTGCTCTGTACTTTGTCTCCGGCGTGTGCATCGGCCTGGTCGTGACCCTGGCTGCCCTGGTGATGAAGATCTCTTGCCACACCGATTGCAGGCGAGGTCCCCGCAGGAGGTTCCCGCAGGATGGCGAGGACAGCAGTGACAGCAGCGACAGCGAGGAGGACAGCTCGGACACCACATCAGACAGGTCAGTGCGGAGACACCGCCGCTTTGAGAGGACTTTGAACAAGAATGTGTTCACATCTGCAGAGGAGCTGGAGCGAGCCCAACGGCTGGAGGAGCGGGAACGCATCATCAGGGAGATCTGGATGAATGGTCAGCCTGAGGTCCCCGGCACTCGCAGCCTGAACCGCTACTACTAGGGGCGCAGATGGACCCCCACTCCCGCTTCAACACACACACCCAGCACCCCTGGAAGCGGCCGGGAAAGCGGAGAGTCTGCAGAGGTGGTGGGCACAAGGAGCTGAACTCAGCTCTGCTAATGTGGCGGCAGAGCAAAGCAGGACCTGCTAGTCTTCTGGTCAGAACTGGTTTCTCCTTTTAACTTTGTCTGTGGAGTAGAAGAAAAACCAAGCTGGTTTATCAACCTGTCCAGGTCTTGGAATGGTGCTGAAACCCGTCTCCAACACTGTGGATGGAGATTTGAGAAACAGGACTATGGTTTCTCAGTTTCTGAGGATCTCAGAAGTTTCTGCAGACTTCATTGCTATGTGTTATTCCTTTACAAAAGGAAAGATTCTCATAGTATGAGAGCTGGAGATATCAGGGTGACCTTGACCCAGGAAATGCAATTTTCTAAGTGATTCCATGCTGTGGAGGTGATTCTGATCTAGGTAGCATGATCCATGCTTTTTATTTAAGGCTAAATTTTTAAAAATTTTGTGTTGCAATGGCAACCTCTCCATTTTAACTGGCACCTCAGGGATTAAAATCCTATTTTTTAGTACAGTCCCCACCTCATTCATTAAAATGAATGGAATTATTGTATTATGGGAGAAGTGTCAGTGGACTAGAAAATATCAATAATCTCAGAGGATGAAGGGTTTTTATTTTAAATAGTTTATGAAATATATATATGGACGTGCATATTTGGAAATGCTGCATAAGAATAAGAATTGTGTATCCTCCCTCTCTGGAGAGAAGAAAAGTTTATTATGATTCTAAATAATAAGACTTTACACATTTCGTTTTTGAAAAAGTTGGATTTCTAAAGACCAAATGGATAATGGGAGATGAGAGTTAAAGCAAAAATTAAGATGGGATAAAAAAAATAAATGCTACATGAAATGTTTTTTGTTTGTTTATTTGTTTTATGTCTGTCTTTTCACTTACACTTAGTTTAAATGGAAGCCTTTATATGTAGGTGGGTATAGGCTTTTGCCAAGTCCTTCAAGGATTAAAGTGGAGAAATGATTCCCGTGTGATTATGGGCTTCTCATTTTCTGTAAATTACATGTTAAGTCTCAATACAGTTGAGTTATTGTTAGACAGATGGAGAAATGGAAGGCTTCTTTAATGCTAGAGATCAGATGAAGGCCCCGCTTGGAGACAGGAAGTCAGTAGAGGAGGAAGAGAGTGAAGAGTGTGCTGTGTTAGCAATGGCTCAAAGATGGCTCCTCTGGATGGGTAACCAGGAACCACAAGATGTTGGTTCCCTGCTCTTGCCATAGAGTGCATTCCTTAGTCGGCCTACCTAGATGAGCTAAAGGCTTCCTGTTGGGAGGCTTTTTCCTGCTCATTGATTGTCACTAGGGATAAGATGATGGCCAGAAGACTTCCTCCAATGAAATCTCCACTCCTTAGCCATCCATTCATTCTCAGTGATAGAGCTTTTTAGGGCTTCCTTAAGAACCAAGCAGTCATAATCCCTGGTTGACAAGCATGGCTGAGACCCTTGGAGGCTGGCCTCTGTGGCCTCATTTTGGCCAGCAACAAGTGCCAAATTCTTGTTCAATCTATATTGCTAAATTGCAAGCCCCACCATGGTAATTTTAATCCTGTAGCAACAATAGCACGATTCATCCCGTTTTCCTGCATTTTAGGCTGATACCATCAGTCTTGTTCTCTGCTTCTCAGAGGAGAGGTCCAATTGGGAGTTATTTTCTTCTCCATGGCTGCCTAGAAGGAGAGATTTTTTGACCTTTGCTAAGTAGCTGCTATACTAGAGGAGGAGCTTGAGAGGACTTTGGGGCACTGGGTCCTCACTCCATTATCCTGATACTTTTCTACTGACCATGTTGATCTCATTAGTAAAGCGGTGAAGGTATTTATCTAAGCCACAAAATATACTAGGTAATAGTTTAACCAGCTGCTTTACTTCATATAATGAGAATTCCAGCTTTTCAACTTTCCCTGTGACTCACCCATTTCACATTTCAGGTTTATCACTGTACTCCTGGTTTTGTTTCTGTAGAGGACATTTGCATCTGTAACAGAAAGATTCGCAAAGCTTGAAAGACAGATTTGGATCTCACTTTAGGGATGATTGATTTCAGGGGCTCAAATGCTGGCAAAAGTTGATCTTTCTCAGTTCTTCTACTCTGGTTTTTCTCTGCTGTTGTGCTTATTTTCTTTTGCTGAAGGTGAAACCACCACACTTGTACCACTATAGTGTGTTGGGTTGTTAAGACACAATAGTCAGCACCCACAATTTAAAGGAGAAAAGGTTTGTTTTGACTCACAGTTTGAAGAACTTTCAGTTCAGAGTCAGCTGGCTCCAAAGCAGGACAGCATGGCACAGGGGCATGACAAAAGAATAACTGCTCATGTCATGGTGTCCAGGAAGCGAGAGCAAAGGGTGAAGCTGGAAAGGAGATCCACCCTTCTAGGCCATGGACCTGGTTACTACCTATTCTGACCATCTCCTAACATCACATTTACCTATAAAACCCACATTAGTACAGTCACCTTTCAAATCCTGACGTTTGCATATGTGAGACTTTGAGGGGACATTCAGGTAACTATGAATCAAGCTCCCACACAGCTCACAGGTTGTGTCTTTGTATAGATGACACAATGTCACAGCTAATCTAGCTCAGAAGTCAGCAGAAGACAGAAGCATCTTGAAAGGGGTGCTTTTAGTGCAGTTTTCTTGGTCTTCCTTGAGTCCACTTAGAAACACAGACGGTAAGTCTGAGAAAACATTAGGTAGAAATGCCCTTCAATATGAGGAAGGCCCCAGCAACTTCCCTTGGGAACTTTCTCCAGGCATGAGTGATCACCATTAACTTATGGCACATCTGAACGCAAGGAGCACACTGTGGCATCTGTGGATTTATACCTCTCTAATACAAGGCCGCAAGAGGAATGTAACACCTTGCTCCATGCTTCAGGGTATAAAACCACAGGGAAGGGTGGTGTGGCCTTAGTTGTGTGATGTGCTCATGCGTGGCCCAGTTGTGCTAAGATGCGTGTAGACACGGGATGCTGAGCAGACACTTGCAGTAGACACCACACCTCTCTACCTATAATTTTTATTGATTCTCTTTCTCTGTTAGTTCCCTAAGAAAGCCAACTTAAAGGTGGAAACATTGGATTTGGCTCACAGTTTCAGTGGCTGCGGTGTGCAGTGAGCTGGCTCCATTGTTTTTAGGGTTTTTAGGATGGTAGTGAGGCAGAAGGACCTGGCAGAGGAAGTTGTTCACGGAAGCCTGGAAGGAGGGAAGGAGAGAGGAAAGAAAGGAGGGAAAGAAAAAGAGAAAGAGAATGAACTAACAGTGTTCTATTTTATTCTACTCACACTCCCACATTCACAGCAGGTCTATCTCCATATTTTACTGTTCCACACGCCAGTTGTCTCTAGAAATACTCTAATTTCCTGTGTTTCTCAATCAGGTTGACAATCAAGATTAACCATCACACCTATCATTTCTTTTGGTATTTTTAACTTTTTCTTAATGTCTTCTACTCACACTCTCTTCAATATGAACCTATCCTCTAACTTTGAGCCACTGATCTTATTCCATACCTTGAGGAATCTTATCTAATGATTTACTCTGTCTCTGTCTCTCTGTTTCACTCTCTGTCTCTGTTTCTCTGCCTCTCTCTCTCTCTCTCTCTCTCTCTCTCTCTCTCTTTCTCTCTGTCTTCCTCTCTCTCTCTCTCTCTCTGTCTCTCTCTTTCTCCTCCCAGTAAACTTTTAGACTAATGTGGCCAACTGGCCCTAAACCACAGGAGAAGGTCTCCACAGGGGTATTTGGCAATTTCAAGTTGTTCTGGTTGTCACTGCTGTGTCTGTGGGTTGCTCTTAAGGCTAGTGGCTAGAGGGTAGAAATGTTACTAAACATTCTACAGTGCTGGACCTCATTTTCCCATGTCCCAGTAATAACAGAAGAAACCTCCAAGTTCATTGCAGTCCCCAGACACCTGACTCCTCCCAGTCAAAGTCCCAGACAACATCGAATACAGCCCTTTCCAACCTCTTAGTCAATAGCATCCAAGAGCAAGAAAGCGCCAGTGGTTTTATATCATTTGAGTGTTAAACATCATTTGTTAGACAAGCATACAACTCTCTGTCATGGTTTCTATGTTCTCTCCAAACTTAGGTTGAAATCTAATTGTAATATCAACAGGACCTATAAGGGCTGGTTAAGTCACGTGGCTTCTGTCCTCATGAATGGATTAATCTTACTCTGGTGTGGGCTCCTGATAAAAAGAATGAGTCCAGTCCAGTTTCTCTTTTTGTGAGTACTTAACCTTCTGCCATGTCATGACACAGCAGAAAGCCCTCACCGGATGTGGCCCATCCATGTTGGGTCTCCCTGACTCCAGAACCATGAAGCCACCAACTCCTGCTGTTGGTCCTTTACTCACTCAGTCTGTGCCATTCTTTTGTATCAGTGGGAAAAGACTTTAGAAAATCCCTAAATCACACCCTCTTTTTCTGGGACTTACCACTCTATCCATCTTGTCTGTCAGTTAATGACAAGGTCAGCATGGTTATCCAAGTCAGGACCCAGAGACCTTTTAAGACTCTTTTTTAAGAGTCTTTTCCCTCATTCTTTTTCTTTCAACCCATCATTAAGACTCAAGATACATATTTTCTCCACCAGGAAGACTCTGAAGATTTATCCAGGCCATGCTAGGAGTGTCCTTTCATTCCACAAATCCTGGGCTCACTGTTCTCACTGTAATGTTGTGAGGTATTTACCTATGCCTTAATGGCAGAACATCTGTCTCACGGTTCTGCCCAAGGTGATTATGAACTCACGGATCTCTACCTCAGCCTCCCAAGGAACAGGGATGACAGGTGCTTGGCACTCTGCCAAGCTGTACTTTTACATTCTTACTCTTTGATTGAAATTCCCTTATAAAGGACGTTGGTCCATCTCCCTATACAATAATGTACATTTGATTCAAAGTCAGCTTGTTCATTGCTTTTCCTCCCTGTACTACATATTGTCTTACTTATACATGACACTCCATTTTATTCTAGCATTCATTTACATGCATGCATATTTTGAATTCTGCTTGGTTGAAGTAAAGTGTACAGGCAATACCAGTCCCATCATCGTAGCTGTTGTGAAAGTTTCAGCATCACTTTACCATTAAGAAGAGCTAAACTTGCTCTTCTTAATCTGCTGCATGCAAAGAAAAATCAGCCTCATTTCGTATGTTTTCCCTCCTCTTTTCAATCTATACTGTGACTGCCCAAGGAATGTGAACTCTTTTCAAAAACTGGGACCAGATAAAGGGGGTTGATCTCATTCTTTGACAGCTCAAAAAAAAAAAAAAAAAAAAAAAAAAAAGAAACCTCAGGATACATTAATTCATTGCTCTAAATTTTGGGTTGAACACTGTAAATACAGCTTTATAGGTGATAGATGGTTTTGCCAGGTTTGTTTTTGAAAATCTGTACCATGACTTTGCTTTGTCAAATGTAGATTTGAAAATCTATGACTTTTTTAAAAAGTTTGAAAATCATGAGTTGCTTTTCTATGCTGGAATAAGAATACTTTTCTTTTTTCAGATACAATCCAATGCTTCCATGGTGTCCCTACATTTCTGGTACACTACTTCCATGTGTCATTTTTCTGCAGCTGGCTTTTGTTCTAGAGTCTGAGCCTCTAACAGTGTCCTATATTTTATTTACCTCTGTATTTCCAGCATGCATCCAAGACCTGTCTGTCTCCCACTAACATCTCCTTAAATATTTTTTCTTGCTATCTATCTTTGTTTTTTGAGATGAGGTTTCACTGGTGCCCAGGTTGGCTTTGAACTCTTGGGTTCAAATGATCCTCCTCCCTCAACCTCCTGATTAGCTGAGACCACAAGTATGTGCCACTGAATCCA